CACCACGCGAGGATGCGAAGCACACTTTTCGGTGGTTTAAGGGCCTCTGGGAGGTGAAAATTAAAAAATCTATTTTTTGGAAAATATCAATCACAAGAAACTGAATCTTGAATTTTCTATAATAGTTTCATAAGGGCCTTAATATGACAAAGTTTGGAAGATTTGAATCTTTCCATCTTGCACACCTATCCGTGGTATTTACAGAAAGTCGCTCTTAAATTGTCAATCTCTAACTTCAATCTGCGGAGCATTCGTTCATTACAGTAAAAACGACAACGACAAAAAATGACAAAATGATACAGTAGGTAAGCTTCGTAATATTTCATTCGATTGACTGGTTTAAACTTCAACATGCAGCAAGTTTATTGATGAATTAAGGTGAGTGGCACTTAACTGAAAGTCGGTTGCCAAGGAAATGTTAAAACCTCCTTAACTTCGGTCCCTCTCCCTTAGCGGCCGTCAAAGTTTATCAGCATTGTTTGATCCATGTTCCCTTTAAATTTGCGTTATATATTGCCTTCAAACGACATGTTTTTGACAGAACCTCGTGCTGTTTTATTACCCACCTCCCTATCGAATATAACAAGATTACTTCACGCGTAACGCTAATCGACTTATACATAACAGTTCGAACCACGACCTCTCTGGTATATCGCGGGACCAAGATGAAAAAGCCTATCTAGCCCAACGAATTAGATCGTTTTCGAATTTTAACATCCCTTTTTGCTGCTATAAGAATTAATTATCGACGACCTGGAGTATGTGTTTGATGAAAAGTAAAATATCTCTAAAATTATGCACCCTTAAGTGCCAATAAATGCACTTTTTCTTTAACTGCTCACCACCTGTTCTTCAGAGAAGTAATTCCATACTCCAGATTACGAAAAATATCGATTTCCATCCTGTCCTCGAAATTCAATTTCTTGTGAGGAGATAGGGAAATCCCGCGGGCTCATCAGTGATTTACTCATCAGTGGACTCATCAGTGATTTACACGTAAGTTTACTTTTGCTGCCTCTTGTCAACTTTGGATAAAACTCAGACAACGACTTCACCGTTTGTTCTTTGCCTCTCGTCTTTTTAATGAAAAAAGGCACTCTGAACACGAGATGTTGAATTCTCCACTTTTACTGTGCGAGAGGTTTACCAACTTTGTTTTCACACAACATAATCTCACTCAAAACGAATGGATGTAAATACTACATCCGACCAACAAAGCTGCAAAAATGAAAATCCAGTGCTAAAATTTTACACAGTGGAATCAAAATACTTGGACGAAATACAGCAGTTTAAAATCCCAGAAACGCTCAAGGGTACGAGGAATAATACATCAGGCCAGGAGATCCCTTTAATGGTATCCTTGAGTTCTTGCTCATTGACATGCGAAAAAGTTGTTTCAAGAATTTCGTTTTGTGGAACCGTACAGTAGAAGTAATCGAGAACAACCCATCCTAAACTCAATCAATTGCTCTGAGTTCCGAACTACAAACTTACAGAAACAAGTATTCGGTTCAAATTTAGAATTTCGAGCTTATCCAGGAGCGTCGTGCAAATTTGCAAATGTGTTGTCGTGTGGTGACGAGCAAATATCATGGCTGCTCCAACAGATTTCGTAAATGAGAAATAGCATTCTGGGCGGTGGTCTGATCTCTGGCAGTGCCCTCGCCCTAATCCTCTCTGTTCTGTATTTGAGTTCTTCTGCTGTTTCGCAATTGGCTACGCTTTTTTCAGGATATCACATCCTCAGACCGAAAGTGATAGCACTTTTCTGAAGAGGACTGTTAGGGAGCCTTATTAAGAGCTACAAAAAAAGTTTGTTCCCTGAATTCTTCTCTTGTCTCTTCAGGCCACTTAGAATACTTAGTAACAGGTTCATTTATGGGAAATAAGAACCTTTAATAAAATTTAATTTGCACGTCAAGTGATAGAGGAATTTCCGGCGCGTACTTTTGACTTTTGAAGCATTTAACACTGGTCAAAGGAGATAACATTGCTTCAAAACAAGGTTTAACTCGAACGCTACAATGAATTATTAACTTGCGTACGTTCAATTCGACTTGACTTTTTATATTTTGGAAGGTAGATATACATGTAAACCTCTTGCGGCCACCGTCCCCTTTTTCACCTCGCTCCCTCTCTCCGCTTCGATGCACGAAAGGAAATTAGGCTGAGACGTGTTTCAATAGACTAATATATATGCGAGCTATGTAATAAATTTTTATGTTGGTCTGATTTAATTAAAGTAGATAATTGCCGTGCAATTAAGAACTATATCCCCTGTACTTTTTTATATAAATTAAAAGCTTAGCCTTTTTACAACCGAGTGGATGCCAGATCTTCTAAGACTGATGGATCAAAAAATTGTTACATTCTGTCACTTTGTCCACTGTCTAATCATTGTAATACTTTAAATGATACAGCTATCCCATTTATTATACATTGTAGTCACCATCTGTCTCCTCATTGGTTAAACGCCCACAGTTAATTCTGGGACCTACAG